GCCACAATCACTTCTCCATTCTCCTCTCAGGATCTTGGGCATGCATGCACATGACCCAGCATGAGTTTCAAACCTTCAGGCCCGGGACTCTAACCACAATCAGCCATGTGGAAGTCCAGCAATGTAACCATTATGCCATCTGCTGGTCCCAAGCTGCACTATTTTAAATGTACTATTGAGTAAAAAAGTTCCCAAATAAATTGACATTCCATCAAGTTGTAAGCTGCATCCTAATTTTAGGAAAAACTTTTTTTTTTGAGAATTTTTTGCTATAGGGTGTGTGCACTTCCCAGGTAGACAGAAAGAGACAGGACAGGAAGTGAGAAATCACCTCTTAAGGAGATGGCAACACCGAAATCCCTTCTCCATTCTCCTTTTAGGATTTTTGGGAATGCATACCCATGCGCCTAGCCTGAGTCTCAAGCTTCCAGATCCAGGACTCAAACTGCAGTCGGCCATGTAAGAGTCCAGTGACATAACCATTGTACCATCTGCTGGTCCCAGGGGGGAAGATATCTATTTTCAAATTACAAGACTTACAAGACCAGCAGATGGCGTAATGGTTTCGTCGTTAGACTCCCATGTAGTTGATCACAGTTCAAGTCCCAACCCTGTGACTTAAATGCGCACCAGGCGTGTGTGCATGTGTGCCCAAGATCCAGAGAGGAGAATGGAGGAGAAGGGATGGCACATGGCCATCCCCCCAGGGGGTGATTTCTCACTTTCTGTCTTTCTGTCTCTCTCTGTCTTTCTGGTGAGCGCACGCACCCTACAGCAAAAAACTCTCTAAAAAAGAAAAAAAAAGACTTACTAGAAGAAATAAAATACAGTAGGACTGGTATGAAGCAGTGGAGCAGCCATTGACATCCCGGACCTCTGCTACACTGTGTACTAAGTGCCAGCTTGGACAAGATGATCACATTCTCTGGACTTCGAGTTCCACGTTTGTATGAAGACATTGGGCTAGAAGAGCTCTTGAGGTTTCTCTGTGATATTTTATGTCCATCAAACTGCTTCATTGCTCAAATCTCCCTATTCTCCATCTCAGTATCAATGGCCACCTAGTCCCCACCCTCATCATTTTACTTGAATGACTCTGAGAGCTTCCTGCCTCATCTTCAATTCTAACTTCCCAGACCATCTCCCACCATTCATCTATACCTTACACTCACCCTACAGAATATTGAGGCCCCAAACATAATTAACACAGTTGTCACGCTCAAATTCAGAAAAATAATATGCTGGTAGGAAATGTGTCAGTTTCACCCACCATCCCCACCACGAGTTCCAACAGCTCTGGCGGTGGGAGGAGCAGTAGGGTCTGTCTGCTCAACTCCTCAACTCCGCTAAGGCTCTAGGGGCTCCGCGGCCTCTCAGGCTTCCAGCATGCACCCTGTCTGTAGCCAAGATGCCCAAGAGGAAGGCTGGCTCCGCCCCTGGGGAGGCCAAGGAAGAGCCCAAGAGGAGATCAGCAGCGAGGTTGTCAGCGAAACCTGCTCCTGCGAAAGTGATGAGGCCAAAAAGGCAGCAGGGAAGGATAAATCTTCAGACAAAAGAGTGCGAACAAAAGGAAAGGGGTAGCAAAGGAGAAACAGGCTGAAGTGGCCAACAGAGACTCTGAGGATTTACCTGCAGAAAATGGAGAAACTAAAAATGAGGAGAGTCCACCCTCTGACGAAGCAGGCAAGAAGTCAAGTCTGAGTAATGTCATATACCATGATTATCGATGGTCCCTGTCTCCCTTCTTGTACAATCTGGAGGAATATTTTTATCAACTATTTTATAAATGCAAGTTTTTTAGTACTTCTAGAAACATTTTTAAGGAGAGGATCCCACCTCATCCTATTTTTTTAAGTGTAAATGCCATTTACTGGTTGTTTATTTTTCAGTACAACCAGAAAATACTGGGATATTGACTTATAGGAGGCTTTGACTCTCCTGTGTGTCAGCTTAACATTCCACAGGTGGGGACGGCTGGGTGGTTTTTATATCCTAAATACAAAGCATACTAAATGGCAGTTTGGAGTCATGCATTTAATGTGTCTTGAATATTTTAAATTACTTCTATTATGTTTTTTTGTAGTATTCTTTCCTAAAGAAAACCACTCTTTGATTGTTGCTCTCCCTGTCAGAATTGTATGCACTCTGTGACATCTTTGATCGTGGTAGTCCAGTTTTCCTAATCATTTTGTTAATTGTGCTGTGAAAGATTGGAAATTCAAGTACGTAGTATGTATGACAGTAAATTGTGATTTGGTAGGACTTGTGTAACCGCTTTCAATTTGAAGACAGTGGTTCTTGATATCCTCTTAAGGAAAATTTGCCTACAAATTTGAAGCTGGAATGTCACTGGAAGAACTTAAAAATAATCACAATACTTGACTTTTTAAATGTTTGGTATGTATGTTAAGAATTGGGTACAAATTGAAATGTCTGTACTGACCCTCGACACAACCAATAAATTTCAATTACAAAAAAAAAAAACAAAACAAAAAGAGTATACACCTCAAGGGAAAGAACAGTGAGTTTAACAGAGGTACAAGCTGGCACTTATGTTTAAATTTCCCTCTTTTTTTTTTTTTTTGACAGAGAGCACATGGTCATGAGAAAGGGCTATCCCCTCAAAAGGGTCTCATTATGCCACGATTCCCTTCCCCTAGCCCTCCAGCTCCTCAGGAGCTGGGGCACCCATGTGCACACTTGGCATGTTTTCAAGATGACCCAGGGGAACCAGCAGTTAGTGTAATGGCTATGTCACTGGACTCCCACGTAGTCGACCGCGGTTCACGTCCCGGACCCGGTGACTTAAAACTCACGCCAGGCGCGTGTGTGTGCGTGCCCAAGATCCCGAGAGAATGGAGGAGAAGGGATTGCAGCGTGACCATCCCCCCTGGGGGGTGATTTCTCGCTTTCTGTCTCTCTTTCTCTCTCTGTCTGTCTGACGAGCGCACGTGCCCTATAGCGAAAAAATCTCTCCAAAAAAAAAAAAGATGACCCAGGAATCCAAACTCATAGTAGGCCATATGGCTTCCAGCCTTGCAGGGCACTGTGCCACAGCGGCTGGGCCTACCTTTAAATTCTTAACGGAAAGTATTCACTGTAAAACAGGCATGTTTCCAGACAAGATGGGTCTATTTCTTTTTTAGACATGGTCCTTATGAGTTCAAGAAAAATGGAGGGGAAAGCTAGGAAGTTAACTGAACAAAAATAAACAGTTTTCACTGAGGGAGGCGGGGTCAGGCACAATAACTTTATCACTCATTCTGAATACAAAACCCCAGGAAATAGCAACTGAGGCTGGACTTCATGCCAACTGGGAGTGAACTGGCCTTGCAGAGTGTTCCCATTTCTGGTATCTGTGGTCACTTCTTACCAAGACAATCCCTGCATCACACTCCACACGTATATGATGATGTAATGGGTAATTGGGTCAGAGAGCAGAAATAAGACACAGGCCAGCCAGTTATTGTTCAAACAGCAATGTTTAGTTGTACAACACAAAGTCTAGCAACATTTACACAACCAGTTTGTCTGTTGGCTTGTTTTCAACTGGGAAATTTAGCCATAACGTAACGGTAAGGTTGGCTGGGGCTGGTAACATTTAAGAAATGGGTCGTTCTTGCATCCCCTAGGCTTGGGCCTCTTGCTCCATCAGGACTTGGCCCACAAGTCACCAGCCTTTGAGCAAGTTGTGTCCAGGTGGAGATGCGGAGGGAGCGGGCAAGGGGGGATTCTATAAAGACACAGAGTGTGGGGCAGTGGCAGCAGAGACACTCGCAAACATTCATGCATCTGATGGAGGGCTTTGCCCGCTGGGTATTTTCTGTTAGCCTACAGTGACCACCTGTGGCCAGGCTAATTCATTACTCACATTAACGGGGTGGGATACGGGGTAGGAGTAGCCAGGGTAAGTGGGAAGAGACCCCTCTTATTGCTAAGTGGATAGAAGGTTGCTTTCTTCTTCCTGGAGTATATATCTTACCTGTCTGGGGTAATGTGTGTTTAGTTCTTTTTCTATAAGAACTTCCCTGGGGATAAGGAAGTCATCTTCCAAAACGTCTCTTGGGGAAAAGCTCTCTTCCTAAGAGGCTGTGTGATAGGGTAGGGAGGGGGTGCAACCACATGGGCCAGCCACAAGTGGAGATGTTTTAAAAAGTAAAAGTGGTCCTAGTCCTGGCTCCCCAACATCTGTAGTGATCCACCCTTCTAAATGCCTTTAAGCAATAAAGGAGACACCCTTGTCCCACACTGGGGCTCACACAGCCAACCATGATGAATCGGACAAGCAGAAAATTGCTTTCTTGACCCTTTAAAGAAGCCAAGAGTAGCTCATGCAGATGAATGGACAGGGAGAAAGGCCATGCCCCTTGGAGATAGTTACAGGAAGCTGGCATGGGTGTGCCAAGGTGGAAGCTCTTGATGAGTTCTTCCACCCTACAGATGGGCTGGGGCCGGCTGACACGGACGATGGAGTAGGGCAGTGCTGGCGAGAGCTCCGGTCCACTGGGAGGAGAGGAGTTGGAGTGGTTTGGGTACCTGGAGGAAGCAACTGTCCTAAAGAGGCAGTGGCCCCTCCCACGGGCTGGGGGCTGAGGGGGGTGTGGTGGTGGGCTGGACAAGCACAACACTAACATGGGCTTGGCCCCGCAGCAATAACAGCTGGGAGGAATGGAGGGAGAGGCAGCGCTTGAAATGGCTTCAGTCAGCAGTGGGGCAGGGGGTGGCTGGCACAGGTGGAAGGGCAGTGCCCAGGAGGCCTTCTCCCTGCAGGGGGTTGAGAACGGTTGAGGGTGTGGAGACCGGCAGCGGGCAAAAGACATACAAAACAGCTTCTCCAGGGAGGCTGAGCTGTGGCTTAGGGGTGCCACGTACCATTCTCCTACTCAGCCTCTCCCATGCCCCCCACACTGGCCCCTGGGGCCTTCCCCAGCATGTTCTAGGTGTCTAGTCCCATCCCTCTGACTTGGAGCCCTCACTGCAGAAGTAGGGATCATTCTGTTAAAACGTGATAACCTCTGGACTGTAACTGCCGCCATTCTATCCTGACAGGTGCCTACCCTGGAGTAACTTTCTGGGTGAGGGAGGATGAGGGCTGGATTAGTAAATAAGCCTCCCAGAAAGACCAAGATCGTAGGCGTTGGGTCGTTGGCGATCTGATCACCCAACCTCTTTCACGTGGTCCACTGAATCTCGGGTCTCAAGGCTATGTTTTTCCTAGCACCTGAGTGATAAAACAGTGGGGTTATAAATGCTGGGATTGATAGAGGACCAGCTAGACACCTACACTGGGCCAAGAGATGGGACAAGAGGTTGTGTGAGGTTATTGTAAACAGTAGCACTTGGTGTTTTCACTCTCCTAAGGCTAAACTGTTTTTCCAGCCCCGAGTTTCGGCAACCTAACAGATTAAAGGGAAGAGAACAACTTGCATGTATGACAAATGAGGAAATATGTGCATTATAAATACAGGGCTTAAGGAGAAGGCAAGGAAAGGCTCAATGTATGGCGGCGGGAGTCACCGGAGTGTCTCCAGGAGTTGAGAGAAGGGACAGTTGGGAAGAAGCAGAGACAGAAATGTTATTAGCTTAGCACAGAAGTGACGGGGAACTGAAAAGAAGAAAACAGGGCCAAATAGGCATGAGACAAACGGAGCAACAGAAAAGCCAGAGAGAGATCAATCTGACGGGAGCACGGGGAATGCTCTCTGAAACGTGCCACCAAAGCCAACCCACTAGGAGAGACACATACTATTGCTTCTGGTACTTCGTCAGAGTCAGTTCTTCTAGAGCTTAATGTCCCCACCCCAAGGCTGTCCAGCTCGCCCAGCAGACGTGCTTCTCTAACCAGGCCCGGGAGTGCACGCTGTCTGCTCTCACCTTGGCGCCCACCACTCAGGGCCAGTGTCAGCACTCCCCTGCAGAAATGTCCTTCCCTATTTCCCTGCCTCTGGTCGTCTTGCTCTGAACTGTCCCATGCTTTCGGTTGTGATTTGAAGGTGGCCCGAGGTCACGTTTGGAAGTGGTCTGGGCATATGGTCTAGCTATAGAAATGAAGATGAAGTGGATTGCTCAGAAAGGAAGTGAGAGACCTCAGAGTAGAGAGGCAGGGAAGAGGGAACGGAGGAAGAAAGGAGAGAAGGGCAAGAGGAAGAGGAAGCAGACGCAGACAGCTGGGTGCGAGTGGACACAGGTGAGGGTGGAAAGCGACAGCCCAGGACAGTGAGAAGTGGCAGCGTTGGGACAGCGACTGTGACGTGGACGGAAGGGTGGAGCTCCACTTCCAGGTGCTAATTGTCCCTGCAGGAACCCAGCTCCGGCACACTTCTCTGCTCTCCCAGGAAGTCCTAAACTTACTCCAGACTTCCAGGGAGAGTTGTCCGGTCCCCAACCCTCACCCAGGCCCAGCTTGGCCACTCGTCCTAGAAGAATGTCTGCAGCCCCGGTTTGGGGGTATGTACAGAGGTAAGAAAGCTGCCGGGGGCTCACCTGCCCCCATCGTGTGTAAATGAAACCTCCCCCAGACCTCTTGAGTGAGGCAGTCGGCTTTGATCTGGGACACAGGAAAGAAGACGGGTAATGTACAGTCACAGAGGAAGCAAACTTACAAGGGAAGTTCCAGGGAGGGCAATGAAAATACCTCACCCCTGACCACACACACGCGTGCACGTGTACACACACACACAAATGCTTTCTCTCTCTCTCACACACACACTCACACCCCACACACACACCCCACACACACAATGTAGACAAGGTGCTCCATGAGTACCAGACAGGCCTGTGGACAGAGTTGAAAGGAAGAAGGTGGTTGGTGGTGGTATTTGGGATGCGCGTGTGTGGAGAAGTAGGTATGTGTGATGACACAGAGAAGGGGCCGTCATGGGTTACTGTCGTGGCTTTCCTCTGTGTCCACGCTCACCGGAGGGAGGCCTCCATTGTCATTGAGCCGCTTGGCCCTGTAAGTCTCATAGTGGATGTTGTGGGTCACTTCCTTGAGGTCCTGGAGGTGGGTCCTGAAGGACACAGGGTGAGGAGAGAGAAAGGTGTGATTAGGGCAGAAGGAGGAGCAGGTACCCACCTCTGAGGCAGATACATCACTTTGATGGACTGGACCCAGCCCAAGCAGCAAAGCCCCTTCTGCTTTGAGGCAGGAAACTCTGCCAGAGAGACCTGGAGACTCAGGAAGTGAATCTGAACAGATGGCCCCCAGTCCTCAATAATTAAACCTGCCATCTGGGTAGGGGGTGTGGCAACATCTTACCTGATGACAAAGTCTCGAAGCAGGGCAAACTCACAGTGGTTGAGATTTTCCACTACGAATAAAACAAAACAAAGCAAGTCATTTCATTCACACAGCAATACCTAAGAGGTAAACTTCTGTTTGGGTTGTGGAGGTGTTTAGGACAGAGCCAGGGGACAGATGATCTGTAACCCTACCAGAGGTTTGCTCACTTCAGTGCACTGGGTTTGATTCACTGAACAAACATTTTGTTGCTGTCTAGTTTAAACGTTTATTTATTTGTTTCTTCTATGAGAGAGAGAGACAGAGACAGGCACCCCTGTGGGGGTCTTGACACCACTGTCCACCCCCCCAGTCTAAGCCAGTCCAGATCATGGGCAGATAGGCACCCAGCCTGCTCAGGGCACGAACCCAGGACCTTTCCTATGTGGGGCCATTTGCATTACCACTGTGCCATGACCTGGCCCTGAACAAATGTTTATTAAGCAGCTACAATTTCTAGCACAATACTATGCTAGAAATCTGTGGAATAGCTCCTAGGGTCTATTATTTTTTCCCATTTACAGAAAAAACAAACAAACAAAAAACCTAACACCCAGGGAGTCTAAGAAATGCCAAAGCCTAAACTCAAATCTTATCTTTAAGGCGCTTATATTCTGATTGAAAGAAAGTAACACTTAGAGAACAGCAATTGAGCCATCTCAAAAGGTCAGACACTACATGCTAAATCCAGTTCAACACAGAATGAATACCTGTTTGCAAATCACTTGCCAAAGGTTTGTGGGAACAGACAAGGGTTAAGTCATGAACCCTCTGCTCTCATGATCTAATGAGAGAGACAGATATTCTCATAAGTAATTCCAATTCAAGGCAGATGATGAGAAAATACTACTGAACAAACAAACAAAAAAGGTTATAGGAAAATGTGAGACAATGAAAGACAAGGGGATGAACTTTGGTTTTGGAATAAAAGTATTTCAGTCTGGGCCCAGCTGCAGTGGTACAAGAGGGACGGCACCATTGCGCAAAGCCTAAAGCTGAATGGAAGGCCTGGGTTCAATTCCTGACCCAGCCTAAAGAGGCTGGATGCCATGGTGTGCACCTGTGGTCCTAGTTAACTAGGAGGCAGGGGCAGGAAGGATGGCAATGTGGTGAGACCTTGTTAATAAATTCCTCTCTCTCTCTCTGGGACCAGCGGGTGGTGTGGTGGTTAAGGCGCTGGACACTCCCACATGGCCAACCACGGTTCAAATCCTGGACCTGGTGGCTTGCTTTCTCACTTTCTCTCTCTCTCTCTCTCTGGTCAAATTAAAATAAATGGATGAATAAATAAAATTAAATAAATAATTTTTTAAAATAAATAAATAAATAAATTCCTCTCTTACCCCATGCATGATTGTCCTGTCTCATAAAAATAAAAATAAAATATCTAAGTCTGAAATCCAAATTTTTACAATGAACAAGTTATATGATCTTGGACAAGGCACTTAACCTGAGATTCGAGTGCCTCAGCAGCTTATAGTCAGAGAACAGGAACCTCTGCCCTGCTCCCCACACTGGGTTATTGGGATATCGGGTTATCGTACTGTATAAGATCATTGTAGTGATTCTTTGGAAACTTTCAGAACCATCATGACCTAAGGTCACACCCATTCATAAGCAAATGGAAACAGCAACATTGAAACAACCTTTAAGTGGTTTGTCAGAGTCCCCATCTTTCTCTAGTTTTTCCTTTCCTTGCTAATCTCTCCACTTTCCAGATGCCCAGTCTTACTGCTTCCTGCCTGGGAGTCATCTTCTCAACTCAACTGTAAGCTCCTTGTGGGCAGAATCCGGATGGCTTTCAATCAGTATCACACAGCCTAGGACAGCGCTCAACCTCTCCATGCTTAACAGATAGTTGCTGGGTAACTCTGGTTCTTCCAGAAGATGTATTGAATTACCTTCGATGATTCCCCAGGGAGTTTTTCTGCCGAGGACCCTCTTGCCATTCACTTGGTACTCCTTGTCACTTCCCACCACAGCAAAAGGCATGCTCTCCTGCTGGACAGGGCAAAACACAAACCAGACACACGTGCACCATCAGCCTTCTATATCTGAGGCCAGAGTGGCATGTGGCCCTGGACTGGCCTGGAGCCACACGTTTCTTTTTTTCTTTTTCTTTAATTTTTTTTTTTTTGCCATAGGGAGCATGCACTCACTGAAAAGAGAAAAAAAAAAAAAAAAAGGGAAAAATGAGAAATCACCCCCCAGAGGGGATGGCCACACCGCAATCCCTTCTCTTCCATTCTCCTGTTGGAATTTTGGGTACATGAGCACACATGCTGGCGTGATTTTCAAGCTGCCAAGTCCAGGACTCGAACTGCTGTCAACATGTGGGAGCCCAGTGCCTTAACCATCACGCCACTTGCGGCCCCGAGCCACAGAGCTGATGCTTGTCCAGTTATACCAATGGCAAGGGCAAGGCTATCCCTTGAAAAGAGCACTGAACTGGGAGTGAGGACTCCTGGACCCAGTGCTGGTTCCATCGCTGCTTCACCCTAATAAGCCAGCTTCCCTTCAGCCAGAGGGCCCTGTGCACTTCAGCGCCTTCACACATTTTGTCCGATCTGGAACAACTCCGGGAGCGAGCTGCGACAGACAGAACCTGTCTAAAACAATATGGATATGTACCAGGAGCCAGCTGTTTGTTCCCAAATCTGCCGCGTACTTGTTATTGTACCGGATAAATAACTATAGCCGACTTTGAAACGACACAGGGTGGGCCGTGTGGGTCCCTTTACATGTGGGTTACTGGAAAATACAGTACAATACTGTAAATGCATTTCCTCCTCCTATTTTTTTTTTTTTTTGGCTAGAAGATGCATGCACTTACTAAAGAGAGACAGAGCGGGAAAGAGCAAACACCCCTCAGGTAGGGATGGCCTCGCTGCAATCCATTCTCCTCTCAGGATTTTGAGCACGCATGCACACAGGCAAGCATGTTTCCCAAGCCACTGGGTCTAGGACTCAAACCACACAATCAGTCATATGGGCCAGGAGTCCCAACCACCACTACCGGCTGGCCCCATTATGATTTTCTTCCTTACATTCTCTTTTTTCTTATTTTATTATAAGAATATAATATATAATACATATAACATACAGACTATGTGTTAATTGGCTGTTTAATGTTATCAGTAAGGCTTCCAAGTTAAGAGTAAGCTATTATTAGTTAAGTTTTGGGGGACTCAAAAGTTATATTTGGGGCGACCAGCAGTTGACGTAATGCCTATGTCGCTGGACTCCCACGTAGTGGGCCACGGTTCGAGATCCAGACCCGGTCGCTTAAACTCACGCTGGGCGCGTGTGCGTGTGTGCCCAAGATTCCAAGAGGAGAATGGAGAAGGGATTGTGGCGTGGCCATCCCCCATGGGGGTGATTTCTCACTTTCTATCTCTCTGTCTCTTTCTGTCTTTCTGGCAAGTACGTGCACCCTATAGCAAAAACCTCTAAAAAAAAAAACCAAAAAAGTTATATTTGGATAACTTTTGACTGCAAGAGGGCTTGGTGTCTCTAACCCCTGCATTGTTCAAGGATCAACTGCTTTAAAATAAAATGAGGAAACATAAACATGCAGAATTGATGCTCTGAAAATTCAGCTCAATGCTTCAGAAAGATCGTGTAAAGGTGAGATGTTTCAGCTTTAAGAGTAGACTTAGCTTCAGAAAATAGGCTTTGATTCAATATAACAAGAATATTTATGAAAGTAATGTATATGTTCTACATTAATTATTTACTTACTTACTTACTTAGGTTTTTGCCATAGGATGCATGCACTTGCCAGAGATAGACAGAGAGAAGGAAAGTGAGAAATCACCCCTTGGGGAGGATGGCCACACTGCAATACCATCTCCTCGATTCTCTTCGGGATCTCGGGCACGCATGTACACATGTCCAGTGTGATATTTTTCAAGCTGCAGCTGGTCATGTAGTAATCCAGCACCTTAACCACCATGTCACCTGCTGGCCTCATGTGTTACATTATTGTAATGTAACAGCTTCGTTAAATATTTAAGATTTGTATACATGATTTCCTCACTCCAATTGACTTTATCAGGTAACTGACCTGTCCCAACTACGTCAGGTAAGGGGCTTCTACCAGATTATCGACATGTAACAGAGGACGAGACTCAGGACCAAAGCAGCCAGTGATTTATTTTGGGTTATAGTGGGTTAGTAGAAAAGCCCAGATTAGAACCTGGGACTCTGATACAGAATCACAGTATCACAGAAATGCAGAGTTGAGAAGGAACTTAGAGATCACCTAGGAGGGCCAGTGATGACATGGTGGTTAAGGTGGCTGGGTCCACAGAGCTGACTGTGCAGTTCAAGTCCTGGACCTGGTAGCTTGAAAATCATACCAGGAACATGTGCGTGCACGCTCAACAAGCCCAAGAGGAGAATGGCGGAGAGGAGATTGCAGTGTGGCCATCCCCCCAGGGGATGATTCCTCACCTCCCCTCTCTTTGCTCTTTCCAGCGTGCACACATGCTCTATAGCAAACTCACAAAACAAAGAAAAGAAAGAAATGACCTAGGTTGCTGGTGTCCAAGCCAGGTTTCAGGGAGCTGGGACTTCCTGCTGGGAAGTCAGGGCACGTGCCCCGTGCCACTGAGCCAAGAGCTCTGTTTACACGTTTTGTATGTTAGAGCTCTGAGATCTGGTTTTTTAAAAAGGGTTCTTCTAGGGGAAAAGAAAGTCATGACTCACCTAACCTAAACCCCTGCACTTTACAGGGGACGAGTCTGACTAGAGGCCAGATTGCCCTGGAGCCCAGCCCAGTGCTTTTCCTGCAGTGTCCCTTCCATCACCCACACTCCAGATTTCCTGGGCCCCGTGGGGGAAAAGGAGACTTTTGTGTGGTCTAGGGACAGAAAGGAACGCCACCTCCTGAGGACAGGGAGCCCCCTATGGATTCAAGTCCTGGCCATGGCCCTGGTCCTCTCACCCTGTGCCTCTGGTCTGGGTCAGGCACAGTGGGCAGGGCGTATGGAAAAGCAGCAGCAGGTGGGAAGACAGAGGAGGCTCATGGTACCCATCCCGGGGAGCCCAGGGCACCCGCGTGGGGAGGCAGCACCCACCCTGATTTTGTCATTCTCCGTCTTGTCCTCCAGGTCCTCATCGAATTCCTTCTGGGGGTAGAATTCGATGCCATTCACTTCAAGCTCCTTACGAACCTAGAGGCAGGGAGGACAAGCAAGGTGGCCCAGAGTCAGCACGACGGACGAGGGGGCTCTGTGTGCACGTGTGTGCGTGCACGTGTGTGCATGCGCGTGTGAGCGTGAGATGCTCAGGAGATGAATGCAGCTTCGATGAGCCACAGTCATCTCTGAAGGCTGAGGCTGGGGCGGAGGAAGATTCTGAGTGAATAAATGGAAGCCCTGGGTTTACCATTGCCACGGGACAGCTGAGGGAAGGAAGGGTCTGGCAGGGGCAGGCTGCAGGCCCCGGCAACCCACAACCAGCTTGCTCGTCTCCGGCCCATATGGGTAAGATAGAGAAGCAATACCACTGAGTGCAGAGCTCACTGAGCAGGGCTCAGGCCTGTCCCCCTATACCCTCTTTCAAGGTACATCTCACCTCTTCCAGGAAGCCATCCAGGACCTCTCTGGTGTCCTATTTGAATTTACTATTTGTAAATCTTTTTTTTTTTTTAATTGCCAGGGGTGTATGTGCTTGCCAGAGACAGAAAGAGACGGCACCCCCCAGTGAGGCCTGGTCACACCGCTATCCCCTCTCCACTTCTCCATCCTGCCGGATTTGGGACACTCATGCCCACACAGTTGGCATGCTTTTTCTAGCCAGCAGGGCTGGGATTTGAATTGCAGTCTGCCGTGTGGGGTCAGTTTCCCTTATCCACTAGGCCATGGGTGACCTGCAAGTTTCTCGAAAGCAACAGCTGTCTTTACATTTCTCTTAAATCCCACCACCCCCGTGCACTCAGCACAGGGCTGAGCTGATGGAAGGTGCCAGGAAGGACCAGTAGGCCGCAGACTAGCTGCTCTAGCCCGTCAAACAGCCTACAGGTGAGGCGTGATTTCTCCTGCCCGTGCTGATGTGTGCTCAGCAGTCTCCGCAGGCAGGTTTAGAGGGTGGGAAGGTGCAGCCTGGCTTGGTCTCAGATTCCACCAGCCCCAGTCTCTTTAATGGTTAAGCAGAGGCGGGCTGGAGAGTCTGGGGAGGGGGGACAGGCAGAGGGCAGAGGTAAGGAACAGAGTGAGCTGGAGGATGGCCTGGACCCAGGAGAGAGGAAGAAGGGACGGAGACAGGAGAGGAGAAAGGAGGTTCTCACCCTTTGCTTGAATTCGGACTTCTCCTCCAGGGTCATGGTGTCAGCCTTGGCAATGACAGGGATGATGTTCACGACTTTGCTGAGGTGCTTCATGAACTCGAGATCCAGAGGTCGCAAGCTGGGGCCCAGAGAAGGTGGGGATGTTGGCACCACCTCGCCCTCCTCCACCCTGCCACCGCCACCACTCCAGCTGAGGCCCCGGCAACTCACAACCAGCTGGTTGGTCTCAGGGCCCATAGGGGTCCTGGGGACCTGGCTGAGGCAAGAGGCTGCTGCCCCCCTCGCACACGTCCCAGCTCTCCACCTTCGGAATGGTCCCCAACTCCTCCTCAGCATGGTCCCGCCAACTCCCTGCTCCTTCCTCGGCTCCCTGGCACAGATGCCTGACTTTAAGTCTCCCTCAGACCATTCCTTCATGATGTCTTTTCCGACCTGGGCATTTCCTTCTGTGGAATGTCCCCCCATGTGTCCTTGGGTCATGGTCACCGACCAGCACTTCCACGTGCCTCCTCCAGTCCCCACTAGTCCCGCAGGGCCCTGGCGGCCTTGCCCCACCTGGGTCTGAGGGCCTAACCTGGCTGTAGTTGGCAATCAGGGGACTCACTGAGTCAGGCCACCTGCTCGTTGTCTCTGACGGCGGGTCACGTCTGGGGAGGGATACAGCCAACCTTGTGCTGAGCTCTCAGCCGGCCCAGGGCTTGTTTCTTGTCCCCTCCCCCCTCACTGAGCACTTGCTGAGGACCTGGTTCCTCTGGGCTTGGGGGCCTACTCTGCTTGTTTCATCCTTCTGAGAACTGAACCTGCCTAGCAGCAGGGCTTAGTGTAAGTTGTGACAAACGGACACACACACAGGAAAGCGGAAGGTTGCTTGCTTGTCCCTTGGGGTCACCATCCCTGGGCTGTCTCCTCACTTCCTGTCATGGGGGCTCACCTGCTACCCACAGTTAGAGGTCCCAGCACTCTCTGCCACTTCTAGACACCTAGCCCCTCGTGCTGGGCTGGCCCCTTCCAAGTGCTACCATGGGACCCACATCCTGAAAGCTCCAGCCCCACTCCAGCCCCGCTCCAGCAGCCCTGTCCCCCACCTCACCCTCCTGCTGCCTCAACTCCAGCCTTGTCTGAGCAGGCACTCTGAATAAATGAGGTGCCCTCTACTTGCACGCACCAAGTTCTCTGCTGGGAGTCTGCTGTGGGGCAGGGCACCATGGGCTGCGGGGGTGCTATAGTAGTCAGCTTTACCCACCTGGCTGGAAAGTCTGGGGAACCCCAAGGCCATGGCTATGTTCTAGCCCATCTGGCCCTCTGCAGCTGAGTTAAGGCATCAGTTATCCAACCCCGAATGTGCTCAGAGGATGCAAACCAGAGCCAGCCCAGGCAGGGGCTTGGGGGAGATACATACGAGTGTCCCGTGGGGGAGATGAAGTAGAGGCAGCAGTGGACACGCGTGTCAGGAATGCGTTTCTTCCTGGCGATGTTCACCTCCTCCTTCAGGAACTTCTCATACTGTTCATTGATGTACTTCTCAATGGGCTCCCAGCTGAGGGTGGGAGAGGCAGACAGATGCATCTGGGCACGCCTCGGCATGGTCAGGCAGCAGCTCCCTCACACCCCTCTCATTTCCTCTGTCCTTGGTGGGTCCAGGATACCTGCTGACCGAGGTTCCCTCCCTCCCATAGCTTCTATGGACGGTCAGCAGGGTAGAACTCCCAGGGGACCCAGCCTGTTCCAGCTATAGGAACCTGCAGAGCGTGGGGTGCAGGTGGCTGCCAACGTGAATGCGTCTGCACCACATCAGCACCTTCCTGGCAGTCCTTGGAGGGATAGCTCCGAGGCAGACACATACCAGTTCTCATTGTTGATCTGGTCTCCAAAGCCTGGGGTGTCAATGACAGTCAGCTTCATTTTGACACCGCCTTCCTCTATCACTGGGGGATGAACAGAAATGGCAGCAGAGCGGTCAGCCACAGCGGACCCCAGGGGCCCTGCAGTCTACCAGCCAGGGAGACCCAGGCCTCTCCCCTTCTTCAGAACCAAGAATTGAAACAACCAAGTTTGCTGGTGTAGCTTGCCGCAGGTGGAATAGCCTCCCCATTTCCTTCTCCTGTCTGAATCCCGCCCGTACTCTTGCACCCAGCTCAAGGCCCGCTTCTTCCCATCCCAGCCCCACAACGTGTGTTTTTCTATACTACCATTCTAGAAGTTTGCTTCATGGAGTTTGGTGCTCAGTTCTACTCTGTCCTGAGGCTGCCTTTCGTTCATCTTACTCCCCAATACACCCCATGTGGCAGAGGCCCCCAGTCGGAACAAAGCCCACAGGGGTCCCTGCTAGTCCTTACCATGCCCGATAGCCTTGATCTCCACTGTCTTGGGGATCTTCTCCTCCCGGTTCCAGCTGGAGGCCTTGCGGCTCACTTGGGATTTGAAGAGTGTGTTGACCAGCGTTGACTTGCCCAGTCCACTCTGGCCTGCAGCAAGGCAGGAGGAGAAGGCAAAGGGACCCCGTGTCCACCTCCTGAGCCTACATGCTCTCCCATGAGCTCAGAGAGCTGGGGTAGGACCAACTCCGTGTTTGGCCACTGACGGGACAGGAGGGGCTGAGTGTGGAGAACAGCAGGTGGGAACGGTTCCTTTTCCTGGACAGCCATGGGGAAACATCGCACAGCTTAGATTCCACATTCTCTCTCCTGGAACCCCAGGACCACTGGGAAAGGGACAACCTCTGCCTTTGTCGAGAGTGGCAGTTCTTGTTTGGGTTTGGTGTCTTGCTTAAGTTTTAAGTCTTTAATAATACTAAAAGTGAGAGTAGAATTCCTTAGCATTCTGATACAGCCTGTACCAGTCCTGTTGATCCCACAGCAGAGCCCTCGGATCCCCAGGTCAGATGGCCCTAGACAGTCATCCCCACCTAACACAAAAGACGCATAGCGACATCACCGACAAAAGCAGGACCAGGGACTCGAACCCAAGGAATCACTTTACCCTCAGCCACTCTTTATTCAAGTGCAGGGGTTTTAATTGTGCTGCCTGAAACTCTAGTGTCCTGTGGAGACACGTGCAGAGAGGGCACTGCCAGAGGAGGAGGTTGGACAGGCAGGATCCCTGCCCGGCCTCTGCCTCCTTCACTGAGGCTCCCTCTACTGTCCACAAGCAGTTCTGTTCTGTTCTTTCTTTCATTCATTTTTTTTGATAATCAAATCAAGATATTGCCATGCACGTGCAGTTCTGCAGATTTCACTTCCAGGTGGAATTCTACAGTTAAAAGGCATTTGAAACCGCAGGTCTGAACAGTGCTTCTCGAACTCTGACATGTGCAAGAAAGCCTTGCAACCAACCCACAGCATCAGCGTCACCCGAACACTCGCAGGACATGTGGACGCTCAGGCCCACCCAGACCTATGAGTCAGAATTTGTGTTTTAACTGGACCTCCAGATGAATCCTACAGGCAGTGAAGTCAAAGCAGCACGAACCTGGAACATTCCTGTGGTATCTTAGATACAGGACCAGCTGGGAGGCAAGAGCCTAGGGTTCTACACCCAACTCCACTCTTGCCCTGAATGACCTTAGACTGGACAGGTCTGTCCCCTCTGGGTGTCAGTGTCTTCACAGAGGGAGAGAAAGAACTAGACGAGGCCAGGAGTAGGGAACAAGGTGCATTTCCCATTCCCACTGATCAGCCTGTGGTACCACCAAGGCCACTGTGTTAAAAAGGTTACACCGAGGGACCAGCAGGTGGCATGGTGGTTAAGGTGCTGGACACTCCCACATGGCTGACCACAGTTCGAGTCCCAAACCTGGCAGCTTGCTTTCTTACTCTTTCTCTCTCTCTGGTCAAATTAAAATAAACGAATGAATAAATAAAATAAAATAAATAATTATAGTTTAAAAAAAAAAAAGGTTACATCGAGCCAGGCAGTGGCATGATGGGCAGCTGGAGCTCTTCACATGGCCTACAATGTGTTTCAAGTCCCAGACCCAGCAGCTTGAAAAACACACTGGGTAGGATCAGCATGTAGCATGATGGTTAAGGCACTAGACCTCTCTCTGAAAAAATATAAAGAAAATTCTTCGTGGGACCAGCAGGTGGTGTGGTGGCTAAGACGCTGGATATTCCCATGTGGTCAACCACGGTTTGAGTCCCAGACCTGGTGGCTTGCTTTCTCAGTTACTTTCTCTCTGTCTCTCTCTCTAATCAAATTAAAATGAATGAATAAATAAATAAAATTGAATAAATAATTCTTTTTAAAAAAATCACACCAAGTGTTGTACCAGCAGATGGTACAACAGTTACATTGCTGGACTCTCACATGGCCAACCACGGTTCAAGTCCCGGACCTAGTGGCTTGGAACTCACATGGAGTGTGTGTGCATGTGTGTCCTAGATCCTAGGAGGAAAATGGAGGAGAGGGATTGTGGCGTGGCCATTCCACCCGGGGAGTGATTTCTCACTTTCCCTCTCACTGTGTCTTTCTCTTTCTCTCTTGTGAGCTATACATGTCCTAAAGCAAAAACCTCTAAAAAAAACAATCATGCCAGACACATGTGTATGCATGCCCAAAATTCCAGGCAGAGAATGGAGGAGAAGGGATTGTGAGGTAGTCATCCTCCCTGGGGGTGATTTCTCACTTTCCTTCTTTCTGTCTCTCTCTTTCTGGCAAGTGTGCATGCCCTATAGCAAAACCTTTAAAAAAAAGAGGAAAGAAAACAAAACAAAAAAACACATTAGGGACCAGCAGATGGCATAATGGGTATGTCACTGGACTCCCAAGTAGTAGACCACAGTCCAAGTCTCGGACCTGGTAGTTTGAAACTCACATCTGATGTGTGTGTGTGCGTGTGCCCAAAGTCCCAAGAGGAGAATAGAGGAGAAGGGGTTGTGGCATAGCCATCCCTGAGAGGAGAAAATTTCTCCCTTTCTGTCTCTCTCTGTCTCTCCAGCAAGTGCACGCGCCCTATAGTAAAAAATCTCGTTAAAGAAAGAAAGGAAGGAAGGAAGAAGGAAAGAAAGAAATTAAAACACACCTAATGCATGTATGTATATGCCCACAATCCTCAAAGGAGACTAGAGGAGGGACTGCGGCGTACCATCCCCCATGGGGGGCTGCTTTCTCACTTTCCTTCTCTCCCTCTTCTCTCTGAAAAGCTCACATCCCCTCTAGCAAATTTAAAAAATGTAAAAGGTCCATCCAGGCTCAGTACCGAACACTTGCCATGACTGACTGGTAGTGACTGCTTCCCTGGAAGCCACAGGGAGAGAGGTGGCCCACGGGTCTTACCTTTGCCTTTCTCGGTCTGAGATGCTTCCTAAGGTCATTTGTCTATTAATTAGCATGTGCTAAGTGCTTTCCTAGACATGGAGGCACAGGATTGAGCATCATCCTTGCCCTCGAGGAGCCGTTCAGAGTGAGACCAGAACATAAGCGGACAACTGTAGCATGTTATTTTAACTGCCATGAAGGAAAAGCACAGGGAAGGGAAACCAAGCCATTCTCTCTGGGATTAAGGAAGACTTCTAGAAAGAAGCAACAACTGAGCTGAAAGGATGACTTCAAACGAGCCATGAGATGCAGGAAGGGGGTCCTAGACAGAAGGAACAGCATATGCAAAGGCTCAGAGGAGGAAAGAGCATGGTAAATGTGAACAGTTCCTCACCAGTCCGAGTGCAGTGCTCAGGGGACGTGGGAAGAGAGGAGTTGGAGAGGTAGCACCAGGCCAGCTAGGAGTCTAAACTCAGTCTGAGGCTAGAGGGGAGCTACTAAAGAGTTTTAGGTATTATGGGTGACTTGATGAGTTTTGCAGTTGAAAGGTTTGGTCACTGGAAGATGATGGATCGGAGGGAAAAGGAGACAAGCAGCCAGGAAGGTCGGTGCTACTCCACATGTGGCCCATGGCCCAGCTGCCAGGGTCTATGAACCATGTGCCACGGGTTCTGGGGACAAGAAGCCTGCACCACTGGGTAAGTCGATGCTGTCACTAAGCATGCTGCTTAGATCAGCTGTTTTTACAGCGAGACTTTCCAGATGATGCATACTCTGGCCCGAGCTCCAGGTGAGCTCCCGCTGCAGATCCGCCCTTGGAGCAGCGCTGAGTCAGGTGGTGCCAGTCCAGGTAAGAGATCGAGTTAGGGGCTGAGTGGTAGCACAGGAGATGGAGAGAAGGGGGCAGACTTAGTGAGATTTGGGGGCGAGGGGAGCCTGTGGCACAGTGGTTAAGGTGGTTGGATTCCACATGACTGACTGCATGATTCAGGTCCCAAACCCAGCAACTTGAAAAACATACCAGGTGATGTGCATGCATGCCCAAAATCCCAAAAGGAGGGAGTGATGAAGGAGAAAGGATTGCAGTGTGCCTTCTCACTCTCTCTTCTCTCTCTCCTCTCTTCTTTCTCTTCTCTCTCTCACAAAAACATATGCCCTCTGACGAATTTTAGAAAATGGGGGGGGACCAGCAGTTAGCATAATGGCTATATCGCTGGACTCCCATGTAGTCGGCCGCGGTTCAAGTCCTGGACCTGGTGGCTTAAATTCACGCTGGGCGTGTATGTGTGCATGCCCAAGATCCCGAGAGGAGCATGGGGGAGAAGGGATTGTGGTGTGGCCATCCCCCCTGGGGGGTGATTTCTCGCTTTCTGTCTGTCTGTCTTTCTGGTAAGCGCACATGCCCTATAGCAAAAACCTCTAAAAAAGGGGGGGGGTTAAAATGGACAGGATTTAATGGCTGATTAGGGGACTAGAGGAGGGGAAGGAAGAAGGGAGACACCCAGATCCGTTTCAGCAGAGAGAGCATCTCACTGGGACAGGCAGAGGTCCCTTCCTGCTCTACAGGCTGAAGCCCGGAGACTCTCACAAAGCTCTGAAGCACAACAGGTCAGAAATAAGATCACCCTTCATCCAATCCTCCAGCCAGCTCTGGGAGGAGAGGACACAGCTGACTGTCCCGTGCCCCGACCTGGAAGCAGGTGCAGCATGGTGAGGAGGCAGCCTGTGGGCAGTCAGCTGGTGATGGCTAGGCTGACCCTCCAGCCCAGGCTCCCACCCTGGACCAGTTGGAGGAGTGGAGGAGAGTTGGGCCTTTGTGGGTGACACCATAGAGAAGCCAGGGCGGAGGCCATTCTGGGGAAGAAATGCGGCCCTCTGTGCTGCCCGCCCCCAGCTCCTCCAGTGGCCCCGCAGCCTCGCATACCGACCACCATGATGTTGAAGTCGAAGCCGGTCTTCATGGTCTTCCTGCGCATCTGCTCGATGATGGTGTCAATGCCGATGTAGCCCAGGAGGTTGGAGTTGATGCTGACGGGCTTCATGGGCACGGCCGGCTTAGGCCTGGGCTCCGGCACCAGCTCCGACATGGCTGTGTCCGTCCTGGTCTCTGGGAGCCCTGCAAGCCCAGGGAGTGTGAGGCAGAGAAGCAGGAGGAAAACAGAGGTCATGTGGAAGCCATTGTAAGTATTTTGCTCTTGACACAGTCATACGGAGCTGGGACTGGAAGAGACCTTAATGTCATCCAACCCAGGTCCCTCAAAGCCTACATGAAGACCGAGGGCCAGACAGGCAAGGACTTGTCTCAGAACATGGAGCAGATTTGATGTACAATCTGCCCAGCACTGGGTTCTCTGGCTGTGGGTGTCGTCAAACGCGCTTCACTGCTCCAAGGCGCCACACCAGGCAGCGAACCCAGGGGCCCCTCCACCTTGGCCCTGTCTGCATTCTGGCAATTCCTTACGGTGGGTGGGGGCTGTCCTGTGCATTGTGATGTCCAGTAACATCCCCACCTCTGCTGGGTACCAGTACGGACCCCAAGTGCCACCCAAAATGTCTCCAGACATCACCAAGTGCCTCCCAGGGGGCAGCACCCCAACTGAGAACCACTGGGCTGAGAAAGGTCTGGGGTTACGCAGACCTGAGCCGTGCCTCCCCAGGTAAAGGGCAAAGACCCTGAGGATCCTCAGTTAACATCCACTGTCACTGACCTCACTGTCTTCTAGAAGCAAACAGGGCTACCATTCTCTGCAGTGAGCATCACTCCCTCTGCCAGCCTCGGTCTGTCCCCTGTTCTGGAAGCACCACTGCGAAGTGGGGTGTCTGTGCCAAGGGACCCCAGACACCCTCCTACCCACAGTTCTGGGTATGTGGGGCCAGCAAGGAGAGGAGGAGACCCAAATGAGGGCAGGCGCTTGCCGAAGGTGACAGTGCTCTTGGGATGGGGGTGGCAGGAGAATGGGGAGACCCAGCAAACAGCCCCCGGTTCTGGCAGATCATGGATATGCTCACGCACAGGAGAAATGTGTCTGCTCACCAGGGCAGGTTCCGGGAGACAGCAACACCTCCCCCACTCCGTGAAAGGGTGGGCTCACGACTGAGGGGTGGTGAGCATGACCTGAGATACGCTTACGAGGACTGAGCGCGGCACTTCCCGGCCCTGGACGTTCTTGCCCTGCCTGTCAAGTTCCTGTGCTTGTCCAGCAGGGAAATGAAACTGCGGGTGAATGCCCTTGTTAAGGGGCCATGCTCCCAGATCCTCACTACACAAGCAGTTACTGGACTCCATGCCCGAGGACGCCCCCCAGCCCTGCCGTTCTAGAACTCCAAGGTTCAGGCTGCCCTGAAAGGCTCAGCCTTACAGAAGGCCTGATGGAGCAGCAGATGGCAGGAGGGAAAGGGATGGGAAGGCCTCACTCCTCACCCCCAGCCCCAGCCAGGAGTCTGCTCTGTGCTCCCACCACCTGGTCTTTCCACGCTACCTGTAAGATGCTCTCTCCTGCTGGAAAACTGCTCCCCCGTCGCTTCCAGGCATGGCCAAATCTGACAAAGCCTCGGACCTCCCCAGGGCAGGGCGTGGCTCCCTCTCACTCCCCAGGAAGCCGTTGCCAGCCCACTCCTCACCCCCAGCCCCAGCCAGGAGTCTGCTCTGTGCTCCCACCACCTGGTCTTTCCACGCTACCTGTAAGATGCTCTCTCCTGCTGGAAAACTGCTCCCCCGTCGCTTCCAGGCATGGCCAAATCTGACAAAGCCTCGGACCTCCCCAGGGCAGGGCGTGGCTCCCTCTCACTCCCCAGGAAGCCGTTGCCAGCCAGGCAGCTCCAGACGGCAGCAAGATTGGCTCAGCCCCGCAGCAGCTGACCCTCAGCCGGCCGCC